AATAAAATAGTTATAAATATATAAAAATATATAAAAAAATTTAATTTTTTTTTTTCTTTAGGATTTAAATTTTATTATTTTTTAAATCAAATCATATGTTATAATTATTTCATTATGTCCACTAAGATTTATTTGGACTGCTTATGACTTCGATGAAATATAGCATATTGTTCACAACAATAAAAATCAAGCATCTAATTTTAATGAATTAAAATTTATCGAGCATGAACTTCTACGAAAGCTTTGATTAGATTATATTGCATTTTGTGGGCATGCTTTGAACATTAATTCATGTATCATATTCACAACTAGTTATGCTATGGAATTCAAATCATCGGGTTGTGTTCACTCCTAATTTTGGACGCTTGAGAGATTTTAGGAGTTTTTTCAAGCTGTTAAAAATTTATCTCAGGAGTTGAGACCGAAGCTCCTTCCATTATCTTAGCACAATTCACACAACCTTTACCTCAGATTAGGAATTAGGACTAGGACATGACAGCTCTACCTCCTTGTCTTCATTGTGATGCACCTCACTTTAGTGCTTAGGGCATCTTCAACAGAGAACTCCATTTTTCACGACAAAATACAACAAAATTCCAAAATGTCGTGGTGCTGCTCCAATCGAACTGCATTTTAAGTACTTCTGCGAAGGTAACGATCCTACTCCCTTTCGCGCATTTTTTCAGTTGAGAGAGCAAAATAGTGTAGGTGAATAGTGCAACGCAAATATTAGCATCGCACTGTTCATCCGCAAGTAAATGGCAGAAGATTTGACGTTCAGCTGGAGCGATCAAATGACGCCATACGCACGTTTGACGTTCAATGGGAGATGCTCTTAGGTAAATGGCTACACTGGGTTGGGTTGGGATATTTTTATTGTCATGTTGAAGTGTCATATTAACTAGTTTCTATAAAACAACAACATATTAATATTTTAGTCCAAAAGTTAATCTAGAGATGTTTGACCAAATAAAAATACACAAAGATTCAAAGATCTACATTATAAGATGTAAAAAATCTTTTTTAATTTTTAATTTTTAATTTTTTACTTTTACCTCTCAGTGGGTAGAAATATATATTTATATAAAATAATAATTTTACTTTTACCCTTTTATCTGAATTTAAAATCATTATATTTATATTTTTTTAATCTGAGTTTGGAATCAATCTTAATTTTTAATCATATTAAACCAAATAATGCTCAAATAATATAATGAATTAAATAAATTTTATCACTTTTCAAAGACATTCATTCTAACTTCAAAAAACCAAATGAGCACAACAGAAAGATTATTCCTACAATTTTAAATTGCTGTGGCAGGTGTAGACAGCTCTAGAGGACCAAATGATCCAGCTAAATACCACTAATAAACATTAACATTAACTTTTCTATAATTTAACCATCCATCTTCAATGCTTATTAAGTCATTATCAATTGTAAGATGGACTAATCAACAAAGTAGTAAAAGCATATTTATTTCATTTGGGATAATTTTTTTATTATTTAAAACACGCCATATCACTCAAAATTATCGGGGCCCAGTGCATCCGGGTGAGGTGGCGTCTCTAAATTGGATGTCTGCATGTCAGGTGATCGGACGCAATAATTTGCCTTGGTGTAGACAGCTCTAGAGGACCAAATGATCCATCTAATAACCACTAATATACATTAACATTTACTTTTCTATAATGAACCATCCATCTTTAATGCTTAATTAAGTCATTATCAATTGTTAGATGGACTAATCAACAAAGTAGTAAAACCATATCTTCCTTTAGGATAAATTTTTTATTATTTTTTAAGTTTTGGTTCAAAAACTTTTTTTATTACAAAATTACTTTAAAGAGTATTAAAAAAGCTGTCTCAAACAAAATCGAAATGAAAGAGAACTAAAGAGTGAAGAGAGAATAAGCCCCTAAGAACAATCGATGAAAGTAAGAGCTGATCCAATGAAATAAAAGAAAGTTCAATCGATTTATGCCCTACTAAACCATATAAATGGCTTCATAAGTGTGGTTCGACCATTAGTTACAGAAATTTTTCTAAAAATATTCTAACTTAAATTTAATTAAAAGAATGTTATAACTATTAAACTAATCTTATGAGAATGTAATATATGATTGACCAATCAAAATTTATATTTAAAAATAAATTCAATACCTCTTTTTAAATAAACCTTGTTTTATTTAAAATAAATTCAAAAGCTATGAAATTCATCACAATTAAATTTAGGTCATGCAATCAATGAGTTAGAATTGAAACCTTATACACCAATATAGCTCTCACAGTCTCACTTAACCGAAATGATGACATAGTTAAATGGCATTAATCATCAATATGAGTAGGTGTTATATTAAATTTATTAGGGCTTCATTTCAGACGATTTTCTTACTGTTTTCTAAAATAGTTTTACAGTACAAAAAATTCTAGTTAAAAAAAAATTTCTATTAAAAAATATTTTAACAAGCAATAAGAAAACCGTCCCAAATGAAGTCTAAATCGGTGAGCGATAAAGTGGCTCCAACAGTGACTTTGGAGAAATAACCTTCTCCTCGCAAAAAAAAAAAAGGTAATAAAAGAGACATGCAATTTGCTAAATCCCCCTAGCAATATATATATATATATAGTAATAAAAGAGACATGAAATTTCTTAATTTTGTCTATTTGAATATCATTAAGATAAAGGGGTGATTGCACTCTATACAAAATGAAGGAAACACAGAAGCAACAACACAAAATTACAACACTCTGACAAACAAAATAAAATAGAATAATGGAGAACAAATATCAAGAATAACTCAAAGCACGCACAACACAAACTTGACAGCAGATATGCAAACCAAAATGACGATAAGAAATCAAGAAATAGAACACAAACTCCCCCCTCATTTCTCCTATAAAAGCAGGAGTGAACGAAGATCAAAAGCAAATGTCAATTCACACGAGAAAAAAACAAAAAAATTTACCCTCCAGAGTGAGAGACTGGAGATGTCACAAATTGTCCATCCTTGAAAGCATGAATATATTGCTGGGGTAAAGCGTGCTCAACCTGCAGGAAATAATAGCAAGCACAAGAAGCGTGCTCAACCTCCAGAATTAGAAAGATGCTTTAAGAAGTAATAAGAAAACAGTCCCAAACAAAGCCTAGTCTTATATAAATAAACCACATAAATATGAGACATTTACATAGATGAATAATTTAGCAAAACATAACCCAAATGATTAAATGTTATTAGCGATGCATTATACGCTCTTAGATTCATCCGTCCTGGTGGAGTTTTAAATATTATATTTCTTTTATGATAGTTTGTTATTAGAAAATTTTTAAAATATTGATGTAATTTGACTTTCTCATAAGACTCTCTTTATGAATTTTGTATGTCATGAAACCGAAAACTAAAAACAAATTCAAGTTCAATTTGATTGGTATAAATAACTTCCTCAAATTTTCCATCATTAGTTAAATTGATTTCTCTATTCAAAATTTTCATCATTAATTAAATCAACTGTACTCGATTAATTTATCATCTTTGTTTAATTGAAATTTTATATTTCTTTTATCATAATCATTACTAACAAAGTAATTAAAATATTGATGCAATTTAGCTTTCTCATAGGTCTCTTTCTGCTAATTTTGTTATGTCAAGAAACCAAGAACTTCATTAAAATTTTCATCAACAGTTAAATTAACTTTACCAATTGATTTATCATCTGTAGTAGTTATGAGTTGTTTATTTGCACATTCAGAATGTACTTATCACTTTGTTCATATAGTGAACACCACACTTAGGAATTAACTCAATGTTTTTAAAAGCCTAGCTTCATATTTATAAGATTTTATGAGAAGTTTAGGTTCCCGTTCAATATTAATTTCGGGATTTTAGTTACATTTTAGGTTTGATTTGAACTGCCAGAACAGTTTCTAAGGAAGGTTTACATTCAGACTAACTCAATTTCAAATTCAAATTTAGGTTGTAATTGTTTCTCTAGTATAATGCCAAGTTCATGAACATATTTGAACATGAGTTCACATACGAGTTCAGCTTAAATCAGATAGACTCATGTAAAAAAATTTTAACCTTCTTCTACATCCAATATATCCTAGAAAAGTATTCATATGCTATAATTTTTTTGATGGGGTCCAATTCAACTACATATGCTTCTCTCGTCGTTGTATATTTGATGGACTTAAAGAGGGGAAGATAATTAAATTACTTCCCTATTGGGACTTCAACTCGATTTATTTTAGGGTTTTTTATATGCATAACATCTAAAATTATTCTAGTTACGTACCTAACATTTAAAACTTACTATTTACTTATCTACCACCCAAATATCATTCCTTTCTGATAAGACACTCAACCTATTACGATATGCAAGCAGCATAATCTCTGTTATTACTGAGAACTCCACCTACTTGTGCAGGGCTGCTGCATCCCACCATTCTCTTTCTGTGCAACAGAACTGTCTGCTTCCTTCTTCTTCTTTATATGCACTAGTTAATATAACCATTAAGGCATGAAAGCAGATTAATGCAATACAGCATTCCATCCTTTACTCTAACTTCAATTAATGCCTTCTAAAATGGAAACAGAGCTTTGAAAGCCCACCGGCTATTCTGCCTCCTCACCCCACACAATGGCTCCTCATCCCACACAAAGTCCGATACCTTCGCACAATGGTCGAAAACATTCATAACACCAAAATTAATCTCTCTCATCAATTTCAAACTCTTCTAGCTCAAAAAGGTATTCAACATCAACCAACCTGCCCCTATATACTAGAACAAAATGGTGTCGTTGAACGCAAGCATCGCCCCCTACTGGATACTACCCGCACTCTCCTCCATGAAGCTAATTTACCACCGAAATTCTGGGCTGATACTATTCTAACCTCTACCTTTCTCATTAATAGACTACCTTCCAAAAACACCTCACTCAAATCCCCTTATGAAATCCTCACCAATCAACCACCCAACTACACAACTCTCAAAGTGTTTGGCTGCATCTACTTTCTGTGGCTAAAACCACTAGCACCAAACAAACTTTCCCCACATTCCACGGCCTGCATCTTCCTTGGCTACTCAAACTCTCCTCACAATCATCGCTGCTACAACCCAATAAACGGTAAACTCATCCTATTCAGATACGTCGTCTTTCACGAAAGCCAATTTCAACACTTACCTCTCCAAATTTCTTCACCAACAAATCAATTCAACCAAAACACAAACCCACTCCTTTTAATCCCACTCCCTCACACCAACCTCCTTTGTATCCACAAATCCACCAACCTCATCTGCACCCATCCCAACTTCACCCAATCTGCCCCATCCTTCTCCAGACACACCACCACAATGTCTTTCACAAACCCACTCCCCATCTCCTTCACTAACACCACCTCCTACCTCCATTCGTCATGCCTTCAAACCGGCCACCTCAAACCAAAGAAAATTTTCACCCTTTCAGACCAACACTCCATCAGTCCAACACCCACTATACTCAAGATATCAAACATTCCCACTGGCAAGCCACTATGTCTGAAGAATTTCATGCTCTGCATAAACAAGGCACATGGTCACTTACTCCACCTAAAAACCAACTAGTCATTAGTTATCGTTGGACTTACCGTACAAAACTCAAAGCTGATGGCAACATTGATCGCTATAAGGCTCAATTGGTAACTCAAGGCTTCAAAGAAGAACACGACATAAACTTCACTGAAACCTTCAGCCCTGTCGCCAAGAAGCCCACTCTCCATCTTCTCCTTCACATAGCTCTCAACAACAACGGGGTTGTCCGACAACTAGACGTTTCAAATGCATTCCTCCATGGGCTCCTTCATGAAACCATTTACATGAATCAACCACCAGGTTTCATTGATCATACCAACCCAAACCATGTTTGCAACTTCACAAAGCAATCTATGGCCTCCGTCAAGGTCCTTGGCAATGGTACAGCACTTTCTCTACATTTCTTCTTACTCAAGGCTTTCATTTCAACAATGACGATCCCTCACTCCTCGTACAATCCACCCCAACCACCACAACCTATCTCCTCCTGTATGTTGATGATATCTGAATCTCCGGCAACAATTCCTCTCACGTTTCCAAACTCATCCTAACAATTCAACAACAATTCAACATACGTGATCTAGGCCAACCATCTACATTTCTTGGAATTCACATTCACAAACACCCACCTTCTACTTTCTCTGTCAAGCTCAATATGCCAATGATATTCACCAATCTTCGGGCATGACAAACTACAAACCTGCTCCTACCTCAATCTCTGTCAAACTCAAAGACAACCGATTGCAAACCACCATTCAGCGAACCATCCAAATATCGCAAAATCATCGGCTCTCTTCAGTACCTAACAATAACACGACTCGACATAGCCTATACCATAAATCTACTATGTTAGTCCATGCACAACCCCCTCAACTGCCACTACCAGAAACTTAAACGCCTACTTCGATGCATTAAAGGCGCTATCGACTTCGGCCTTCCTATCACAAAATCTGAACCAATTCTCCACTCGTACTCTTACTCGGACTGGGCCTCCGATTCGAATGACCGCAAATCCACCGTCGGCTTTTGTTCTTATGTAGGTAACACACTCCTCTCCTGGCGAGTCAAGAAGCAACCTACATTAGCTAAATCCTCCACAGAGGCCGAATACAAAGCTCTTGCTTCAATAGCGTCCAACATTGTTTGGCTGTATCGTCTGCTCACAGACTTCAACACATCACCAACAACACCAACAGTCATCCACTGTGACAAAATTTCAGCAATCTCATTGGCAAACAATCCAGTTTTTCATGCAAGGACAAAAAATATTGAAATCGACTATCATTTCATCCGTGATCGTATCCACTCCAAAGAAGTGGCAATTCATCATATTAACTCCCAGGCTCAACCGGCAAACATCCTCACTAAAGCTCTCGCTCTAGCTCGGTTCACACAAATTCGCTCCAAACTAACTCTCCAAACCTTGGATACTTAGTTTGAGGGGCAGTTATAAGCCACTCAACCTGTTACGATAAGCAAACAGCCTAATCTTTGATATCACTGAGAACTCCACCTACTTGTACAAGGTTGCATCTCACTATTCCACTAAAATGAATTATTACCTGCTCTTCTCTCTTTCTGTACAACAGAATTATCTGCTTCATTCTTCTTCTTTATATACACTAGTTACTATAACCATTAAGGCATGAGAGCAGTTTAATGCAATACAACATTCCATCCTTTACTCTAACTTCAGTTAACGCATTCTAATACTTTCATCTAAATTACCACTCTGTTACTACCGTTAAAACCCTACTAGCCCGACCCCTTGCATCTTCGCTCGAGTAGGTTTGCTATTCATCTTCTCCATTTGTTCATTGTTGTCACGTGAAGTGCTTTGAAAATACTCATTTGAGCTTCTCCACCTCAAATGACAACATTGTTGCTATCATATCAAAATTCCTGACTGGAGCTCACTGCAAAGGTAACGATATATTTCCATTTTATCATGCTTCTTTAGCTAAATCCACCAAATGCTTACCCAACCTGCACCGTAATCTCATGAATGCTCTAGATCTAAATACTAATACATCAAAATTACATTCATTTAAAGTAGAATCAACATTTACAGTTAATACTCTTTGGCAGAGAATTTACCAACAAGTAAAATTAGGATTAACATGATCACCAACAAAATTTTAATTTGAAGAAACTCGGATGTAACTAATACAACATGACTTGAATTGGTTTCAGGTGCATTTGTATATATTACGCGATTCGTAGCAGACAGCAAACCTTTTAATTCTTCAAACCACCTAAAATAAGTATAATCATCTTCTCATACGTTTATGGGACATCTATTAGAATTTTCTTTCAGGACTACTAGCTTTGTATGAGGTATAAATTATACATTGCAAATTGATCTTCATATTAAATCGCTTTATCAATATCTTCACCTTCCACAATTAAAGGGCCAGTTTAGTTGTTCGCACGGGATGGAGAAGGAGAGTGTTTGCTCGAGCGAAGAAGAAGAGAGGTTTCACATGCGAAAGGCAGGGTCGGGCTAGTAGGGTTTTGACGGTAGTAACAAAGTGGTAATTTAGATGAAGGAAATTGTATTTGGGTGGTAGATAAGTAAATAGTAAGGTTTAGGTGTTAGGTATGTAATTAGAATAGTTTTAGGTGTTATGTATGTAAAAACCTCTTTATTTTATTGATTATTTAGCTTACCTTTGCATAAAACTCTTCCAATAAGTTGTGCAAGTTAATCAAAATCTCATTCTTTGGATGATCCATTAATTACACCTAACTAGTGTCTAAAATTGGAATTATGGTAAGAGTAATAAACCGTGAGGAAGACAGAAAAGAAGGTTGCTTCACATTTCAATCATGTGGGCTCCGAAAAAATTCCATTTTGGGTGTGTGTTCCCGAGGGAATTTTCAGAAGGCAGATTGGGTTTTAGATAAGACACTACCCAGAGATTTCGCCCTCATTTTGTGAGGACTTTTTGATCTGAGTTCTGGTTTCCTATTTTATAAAAAAAGAGTTACACGTTAAATCCAAAGTAAATTTAAATTCCAATTTAGATAAGTGATAAAAGGCTTAATATCCAATTTAAAAAGAAGATAAACTTTAGATTAAATATATCAAAAAAAAAATACAAGATATACGGTACATCAGTGAAAGTCTAAGAAACATAATAAGATATGTAGAGCTACAAATCCAATACTATCGAAGAGAGCAAAAACAATGATTTAGGAGTAGATAAATATTTATGCAACAAAAACTAATGTAGTTTAATTATACTTTATCAAATTAATCTATTTAGCAAATTTCAGAATTTGGAAGGCATTGAAATTTGAAAATTCATAAGTTTACCCAGCATAATTTATTGTATTGATTATTGTCTTATAATCATGAAAATTATTCATCATAAATAAATAAATTTAATAGCAATGTAACAATTTCTCTTTTAGACTCCAATGTCACTTGAGCGAGAACATAGAGCCATGAACATTGGGCAGTCAAATTGCTTTGAGGGCTTCTAGCAATTTTGAAAACACAGCTTTCTAGCGGTAGGGAGCAATATCAGTTCAATATTTGCACATTCCTTGAACAACTTGGAAAGTAATTAAATTTGAAATTCAAGCAAATTTAAGATGATATGCAGGCTCCGAAACAAAACAAGTACAAAAGAACATACCCAATCAATCTCAGGCCCTGCTCCAGGAACCATCACATTAATTTCGCTTGATTTGGCAGTAGTTATCGAACTTTCTAGTGACTCTTTACTCAGGTACAGTTGGCAGCCTCCTGTGTTGTCTATGGATATAGTTGGTGCTGAGCCCTGTACAAAAAGTTACATTAACGCATATGATAAGGACTACAGATTCAAAGATACGATTAAGAATACCATAATCATCTAGCACAAGAAAGTTATAAGGTTATCTTTAACATGGTAAAAACAATCTCTTTCACCGTGAAAAAGGACTTTAAGCAGAGTAATAAAGGAGATCTTATGGTAAAAAAATAGAAATTTTCTCTTTCTTGTAGGTAAAATTGAGTGACCATTGAATATTAAAATACAATTACAATTTTTCTCACTCGTGCATATTCGATGTGTAATGTTCGAGTGTTTTATGTGTGGATGATTCTTTTGTGAGGGGCATCCTTATACTTTCATGTAGTTTCATGGTTCTTTTTGGGATGATTCTATTCATGTTCTTGTCTTTAAAAATGTTTAGTCATTGGTTTTTCATGTGTCCTTTTATCTTTTTCTTTTCTTTTTTTGAAATGTGCACTTCATTGTTGCTGAAATTTTATGTTTATACATTTTTCCTTAATAGAAATTCAAATTTGGGCGATTATTAATTTATATTCTGGAAAGGGTAAACCATTTTTGATGTCAGTACATTAAAAGAGATTATTAAGTTATATTTTGATCTTTTAACATTTTACATAAAATCATAAGTTGCCTAAGAAACCATAGACACTTAACCATCCTACATTAGGGTCCTAGGAAAGTTATACCTACTATTGCGTCAAACAACAATCCAATAAACTTAACCTAAAACCCAATACCCACCATCACACTAACACCACCACACAAAAGAAATAAGCATTTAAAAAGATGAACATCATGAAGGGGAATCTCCAAAACGGTCATGTTCAACATGGGAATGCAGTCAAAACCACAATATCAAGCAAAATGAAAGAGCTTGAATCAATAAACATAATGGCCAGGACTTTAAAAACACTTCAGAGGTGCGTTGCACTATGCTGACAACATAAATAGAAGGATAAATAGTTAAGTTTAGGCTAATGATTATGATGATATAGATAATGCTTATCTAGAATTGGACAATTGTAAAAACAAATCAAGGTTGAAAAAATTATAACAAGAAAAAAAAGGGACTAGTTATATCCATTTTCTCTTTATGTTTGCAAATGATTGAATTGTTATGTTTCAAGCTTCATAAATTTGCCAAACTTTCAAAACCAAGAGAAGCAATAATTGGATACCTCGCACTGCACCTCAATTCCATTGCAGTTCACGATTTCACAAGCAGCTACCACATCCTAAGTCATGTGTGACAAAGAATTGTTAATATTGTAAGTGAACAAAAACAGAAATAATATAGGACACCACCCGTCTGTAGTCACCTTAAACAAGACTCCCATTTTATTACATTTGTCTATAGTTATGTTATTTACTTTCCCTGCACGTTACAGAAATGCAACACCAATAAGTTCAAATATTTGCAAAAGCATACAAAAGAGCATTCATTTGACATGCTAATAAATTTCTTCAACAAAGAATGCTTTTAATACCTTTGACTTGCAACACAGAATCCCGGCACCCATATACATAGACAGATTGTTTTGCATCACATTCATCAATAACCAAGTTTTTCTTTCCAATCTGATTTTCAACAGCCCACCTAACACAAAATACCTCTGTATTACTAGCAGTAAAATATGTGTTTTCCAAGCAAACTCAACATGAAATTAAATCAACTGAAAAGAATAAAGCAACTGACAATCTCATATTTTACTTTTCATTTTAAAAAATAAAAGCAGCGAAAGCTAAAACATTCATACCGGCGGCCCATTTGCAGCTCAAACTTCGGAGGGCCTGCTTTAGAAACTGATGGGGAACTGGTACGTGTTTCTTTCTCAGTAGAGCTTACTACAAAAGTTCTGTCTGCTTGGTTTTTTGTCTTCATGCCATCTGTAACCTTCCGCAGACCTATGAAGCAGAAGTCCAAATACAATCATAAACTCGAGCGGACCATTTTCATTTGTCTTTTAAGAGGTTAAACTATGATTTTGAAAGGCCGTTATGAATACCTGATGTGACAGATTTACTCGAGCTGATTTCTTCAAACACAGCAGACATCCCTAGTTTAGGGCGTGGGGCTGCAGTCTCGGAGCTGAAAAGAGGAGTAGATGGAGGAGGTGGTGCTGCCGGGGCCTTGCCTGGTGAAGCCTTAGCCACAGACAAAGTAGAGCTTGGCGCTGAAGTAGAAGCAGTTGCAGCACATCCCCAAACAAGACCCAAAGGATAAAAACTTTTAACATAATCCCGCAAGCCAGGCAAATAGAGTTCCTTCAAAGATTTTGCCCATTCGACATGATCTGAGTCCTTATTTCTGTATGCTACAAGGACCTAAAAGATGAAAAAAAACCAATCGGTATCCATCCAATTTAACCTCAACTATTTCGAGTTGAATCCAAACAACAATAATATCAAAATTAAAAAATAAGAATCGCCGATGGACAAGAAAAAGAACTAACAACAATTTGTAGAGACTTCATTGTGGAAGATCGTGAAAATTTAAAGCTCTTGATTACATTTTTTAATATCCTTGAAATCAATGAAAGCGTGCTAAATAACGGAGCTCTATGGAAGAGAGAAAGTTATATCTATAAAGTTCATCAGAAAAAGACATTTTAATGCTTGCCATCATTATGAAACTAGTTAGGCATATGAAGAGAGCAGGAAAAAAGAAAAAACTGCAAAAAAACAAAATAAGAAAAATAAGGAACCATTCTCCTAAGAGTTAAATGGAGTTACCCATTATCATTAATAATTTAGACCCCACAAAACAAAAAACTTTCCTTTTAAGTCGATATTAATTCATCAAAGTTTGCTTATCTTTTATCTTCTTTGTTTTTTTTTCTTTTTTTTTTTTATCGAGATCATACCTTGTTGTTATAGAATTCAGCCATCTGCCAACTTTCTTCCACATGGGCAGTGGGAAGACTCATGCCTTAAAGAAAGAGTTTTCAGTTAGAGAAAGGATCAAAAAAATTTCTAATTTTATAGATTACAATGTCTTCCATTAATGAAAACCCTATAAATAAAGGAGACACACAAAGATTCACTCACCGCTATCCTTCCCTAAATAAGCAATCCATCCCAAAGCAGATAGACTGTCAGCCGTGGTCTTTAAATGGTTGAAAAAATCAGATCGCCTGCCTTCGGTCATGGCATTTGCTTTTACAATCAATTCATTTAGTGGTTTCAAAAACTCAGCCAGCGCCTTCAAGTTAGGTTTCTGTTGAAATTGCATTAAACAATGAAATTCATATAACTCAAAAAAACAAAAGAAAAGGAGAAGAAAAGAAATGGCATTACAACATTGAAGAAAACAAAAAGAGTGAGAATATGGATAGTGCATAAAAGAAAAAAAGAAGAAGAAAAAGAGACTACATTATAAAAGTAAAAGAAAATTGAGATCTTATGGTAAGCTCCACATGTAAATGTGTATTAGAATCCACGGTAATTTTAAAAAAGACAAACAAAGTTTCAAATTTGGTGGCATAACGAATAAATAAAAGGCTACAATTGAAATAAATGGTAGGGAATTGGTTCAGAATAAAGTGTCATAATTCCAATAAGAAATATATGAAGTTTATGAAAGCATGCTAATACGTGAAATAATATTGTAAGACCAACCAAAACCATAGACTATGCTTGTATCTTATTACATTACAAGTTGGGTGTTATTGTAGGAAAATAACAAGATTGGAAGGTGCTATCCATGAAAAGAAATAATTAGGAGATAAATTTTTATCATGTTTTATATCCTCTAAATTGAAGATATTCAACACATTATTTATTTTCCTTTTGTACTCACCTTGCGCGTCTCTATAAGGCACCAACTTTTAAACAGTAGCATACAAAAATTTTCTCCCTTTTAACATGATATTAGAACCAGGTGTTCACCAAATTTTGGAAAATTAGAAGATACACTTTTATCATGATTTGTATTCTCTTAATTGCTATATTCATTTCATTATTTGTTTCTCTTCTGTACTCATCTTGTATACCCCTATATAGGCACCAACTTTCCATCAACAACTTGCACAAATCTTCTCCCTTCTAATAAGATATCAAAATCAATCTCTGCTCTCTCGCCCTCCCATACCCCTTCTACGCTCTAGCCACCCTTCCTTCCTCAACATTTTTGCTCCCTCTACTGGCATGGTTGCGTGCACGTGCTAATCATGCTCATCGCTATGCTTGAGCATGCGTTGTTTGCACTCGCACTTCTACAAATCTCTAGCATGTCACCTTGCTTCACTAGTCTATTTTTGCTACACTACCTTCTAACCGCCAGCTTGTCACAATTCACTTTACATCAATAGCTTGCACATCCAACCTCACTTGCTTGTTGCACTGCTAATAATGTTTGATTGTCTTTAGCTACAATCGAGCAACTCCAAATGTTATGAACAGACTCACAAGCTCATTATTTTCACCTTCTACTCTAGCTCATTCTACACTTAATGACGTTACATTCATTATCGTTGGATCGAACTCTTAAAGACTTCATGACTCCCACAAAATTTATGATTTGCAGTTACCTCTCTTCTTCAATGTGTCTTGATGTTTCATTCTTCTTTCCATGATTCCAAACTCTCCTCACGGTCAATACCATAATCAACTTCAATGCTACCAATTGTGTCCTAAATTAGAGGGTTTTCACTTCTTGGTCAATTCCCATGACAAACTCCTCACCTTAATGTCACTCCTCCAAAAAGCACTTGCAACATAAAAAAGTCAAAATGGAAAACTTCTGACAATGTCATTCTCACTTGGTTGCTTGATAATCATGAGCCTTCCATCACTACAACAGTTATGTTTCAAAACTTCACAAAAAAGATGTGGGGCTTTCTACATTCTACATTTTCAAGAAAGTAATATTTCTTTGTATGCACTATTTCTTTTGAGATTTTTTGTTTTTAGCAAAATGGTAAGCAAATCCAAAAATGTTATAGCAGCATGTAAGAAAATGGGATAAACGCTTCAGTCTCATCCCTTTACCATTGATTCAATCCTTTATCAAAAGCAGAATAAAGAATTCCTTGCACTAAATTTCTCTTCAAACTTCATTCCTCACAGAAAGGAGTCCAATCTTAATTGATGGTTGACTTTGTTGTTCCTAATATTACAACTACTCTCTCCCTTAGGTTCTTTGGGTCATAAAACTATATTCTATCTAGCCTCCTACTCCTAAACCAACAGCCTATGTCAGTTGCTCTCGAGATGCTGACAAGAATCATTGTCGCAGTGGCCATACCAGTGGCAAATGAGTCGAGGTTTTGGCAAATGAGTCGTGGTTGTAAAGCCTTTCCAACATGTCCTCATTGCAATCATACCAATCATACGCCTATGCGATGTTGGGAGAAATTTGATTATCCCTTCATTGCTAGTACATGGCTACATGTAGATCCACTCTAACCGGTGCCATGAATTCTTGATCGGTTACTCTTTCTCAGGAAGATTATGATCGATCGTTCCAACAAACTCAACGATCTATCTCAACATCTTATGTGATCTCTTCCTTTGGATCTATTGCAACATTATCTACAATTCTATCTTGAGCAAGGTTTGAAATCACACAATCAGATATTGAGGTATTTTCTTTTTATGAAACAATGTCTAAACTTCAAGATATTTTGAGGCATAAGCCTATGTATTAAATCATTAAATAAATAAATAATATGAAATAATAAATAATGCACTAACATCAAAGTAAAATGTTTAAGTAAGATACTAAAAAGTCAAGTAAGGCTATTAAAAGTCATACAAGGCTATAAATATTGCTAAATAAATAGTAACTCTCACATTCAGTTCAATATAAATAAATAGTCTAAAATCATAATTTAGGAATTTAGAAGTTCCCCCACTCCCATCACTTAGAATGTTATTATTATAATCATCATTGTATTTAATTGCTTTCTCTCCTCTCTCTCATACTAAAAATAATAAAATGGATTTCCAATAACAAGAGCAGATACATTAGAGGACATGACGGCGATGTACCAAGATCATGTGTGGGCGTAAGGATCCTATAGCATACAGCTGTGAGTTTGAGATTGAGCAATTCTTCTCAAATTCATGAATTAAATTTTAAAATTATTAAATCCCTAATTATTTATGCTTACACCTCTTCAAAATTGCATTGATGCATGTTCAACCCTAACTAAGGCATAAACCTCATATGACAAGTATGAGGTATATGCCTCATTACCCTTTTTTTTTAAATTACATTAATACAAGCCTCTAATTAAGCAATTTTAAAGCATAGTCTTTAGTCCTATATTGTATTGCTTTCTCTCATATGATAATAACTGATAATTACTCACATCCCTTACATTGATTTCTCTCAAACTTATAGTAAAAGGACATATTTCAACCGTAGATAATGTTTTCAATGTTTTACAATTGAGTAAAAGTTCAAAATAGTCCCTTGACTATTCGTAAAGACTCAATTTACTCTCAGACCTTTATAATGCCCAATTTAGTCCCCCGAGTATTAGAAAATATCTCAATTTGATCTCAAATTCAAAAGTAACAATTAAAGTTAACCCCAACAGTTAAATGTGATAGCATTTTTGGTATTAGGGTGTATTTGAGATTATATTATTATTTTTATATATTTTATCATTTATCTTATTAAAACTAATATAAAAATCATAATGAAAACTACCCTCGGTTATTAATTATTTACTCTTGTTATTTGGTTGGTTAACTTCTATTATATTTTTTATATTTATTTTAATATGATAAATAAAAAAAATATATAAAAAATAATATAATCAAACATACACCATAATACCCAAAATAACTTCACATTTAACTATTAGAATTAATTTTAACTATTACTTTTGACCTTGGGATCAAATAGTTCAGGGACTAAATCGACTAAATTTAGTCATCATGAAAGTCTGTGACTAAATTAAACATTTACTAATAGTCGGATGATTATTTTGAACTTTTACTCTTTTGCAATTGTATCTCAATTTTTTAATACACGATTCCCAAGAATTACAACTGCTCGATGAAGTTTTATCCTAATCATCGTGTCTTTTAGGATCTTAGCATGAAGAAGACGATTACAAAAACATGAAACTAATGGTATTTATCATCTCAATTTTACTAATTCCATTATCTTCTCAGCATTTCCCCTTATCAGATGCATTATCATCTAGGTCGTCTCCTTATCACCTTTGGAGTTTCACTTATGTATCATCTTCTGTTCAAAAATTTGAATGCAAAATCAATTAGTTTGGTAAAAATCATTATATACTGTCCCTTACCCTAGACTTATTGTAGTCATGCCCCTTTTGACACGACTCACTAAGATGTATGAGGATCAAGGTTTATTGCAACTCAACTTTATTTTCACTATTTCATTTCCTTCATTGATGGCCATAACCATGTCACTAAATTTTACTTGTTAAAATGTCAATTTGAGGCCTTATTTGTAGCCAAATTATTCTATCAAAAAATAAAAAATTAATCTTCAATTCAAATCAAACCTCTTTATACAAATAAAGCCCTTGAATTTACACAATCTCCTTTTCTATCTTTTTTTGTCGAGAATGGCAGCATACACCAATCATCATGTTCTTCACCAATCTTAGGGATGTTATTAGTATTTTTACAAACGCGTCAATTAATTAATTATGTTATTTATGATTCTAAATGATGCTAGTCCATGCTCTAGTCTTAATGATGTAGGACTACAATGCTTAAAGTAATTTGATAAGAACTTGCACGACTTATTGATTAAAATAATAACGATTAGAACTATTAGCAAATAAAAACGACAAATAAAACGTAAGAGCAAAGTTTAAAATTGTGTAAATAAACCTCGAGGCGTTTTTCGTCCGTGAGGCGAGGCGTAAGCCTCGAGGTGGTGTGAGGCTTAACCCTCATGGATGAAGAATTGCGTAAATGAGAATTTAAGGGTTTTAGCATGTAAATAATAGTAAGATTCTATCATAAAATAAAAACATTTAAATGATTAGTGAAATTAGTGGAAAATAAGAAAATAGATGCAATAAAATCATGTTCCAAAGTACAAAATCACAAAATATAAGTCTATCAAAACTCCCAAAGTATAAATAAGAAAGAACATATTAAATCAAATCATGTCACATCACTAAATGGATCTTTAAAGGAATCTTCTTCTCCAATTGTATCTATGAATGTCATATTTTCATCATCTTCAATGTTACTCACTTTTCTCTTCCTTGTTCAATG